TCTGGATGATGTCTGTCTGAAATTGTCTTTTAGTTGTAGTTTTGATGTGGTTGTGCAAGGCAGCAAGTACATGTGTGTAGCTATGCTGCCATCTTGGTTCTTCCCCCAGCAACACATTCTTACACCAACTCAGACAAAAGAGACCTTTTGGCAAATAGTGAGATTCGTTACATAAGATAATGGTACTCCTGCGCAGTGCGTACGGTAAAACTACCGTGTCGTTGCCTTTGCACATACATACAGCAAATTAGCCTCAAACATGCGGCATAGTCTAGTCACAGACCCACTCAAAGATACAAATGTAGTTATAAATATCACTATAGTACTTCATAGTGAGACATATCAATATCAACATGGATATAGATGTAAATACAGCTATCGATGTAGTTATAGGTATAGATACGATAAAGCTACAGATAGTGACAGCAGATATTGGCATAATTATAGATATAGATATTGACAATTATAAAGACAGATATACATGAAGATAGAGATGGAAGATGGACATGTAAGTATAGATGTTCAATGAGTTTCCTCAGAGAGAGTGTTTGTTAGCAGAAACCCCCATGCCTGGATTATCCACCAGTGCTGAGTCTGTGCTCACATCTTCACACAGGGAGTCATTCGTTCACTACTCCAGGTGTTGCTAATATTTCCATATTTTAGAGGGAGGTTAAGAAAATTGCCCAAAGCTGTGTAGGTGAGCAGTGCAGGGGCTGGGTTTGAACCTGTGCCGATCGGCTCCTAAGGGCACGCTCTCAGCTCCCACAGTCCTCCCAGCTGGGTGCTTGGGGTGCTTGGCCCATTCACATGATGAAGATTAAATCAGAATTTCAAACACATTTACAGGATACGATAATGCCAAGGTGTATCAGATAGCTAGGTTTGCTATAACAAAGTACAACAGCCTGAGGGGCCTAAACCTCCGGAATTTATTGCTCACAGTTCAGGAGGCAAGAAGTCTGAGATCAACGTCAACAGGGGGGTCTCCTTGGGCTTAGCTCTGGGCTTGAAGTTGTCTACCTTCTTGTTCACACCACATTCTCCCTCTATGTGTCTGTGTCCCGGTCTCTTCTTATAAGGATGGCCATTATATCAGATTAGGGTCCACCTAGTGACCTCATTTTAACTTAATTACCTCTTTAAAGATTATTCCTCCAGCCCTGGAAGGCTGGCTCAGTGGTTAGTGTTAGAGAGCGTGCCTCGGTAAGAAGCACACACACACATTTGAGAAAGGGATTGTGGGTACCTCAGTGGATTAAAAAATCATAAGGATGATTGCTCAAACCTGAACTTTGCACAGGGGTTGGGATCATCTATAAATATAACAG